CCATTCCTTCCAAAAAAAAAGACCTGAAATACCGATTCGTCTGACCACATTACACATTTCCACTGTGTGATGGTCCATCCTAGATGCCTCCGAGCCCAGAGCAGTTGACTGCGCTTCTGGATACCTTTGACATAGGGGTTCTTTTTGGCACAGTATAGTTTTAAACAGCATTTATGGATGTAACTATATATTGTAGTGCCTGACACAGGTGTGCCAAAGTAATCCTGAACCCATGAGGTTATATCACTTATAGAAGAGTGGCGATTCTTGCTGCAATGCCGTCTGAGGGATCGGAGAGCACGGTCATCCAGCTTAAGCTTGCATCCTTGTCCTTTATAAACACTAAAATCCCTCCAGATTCCTTGAATCTTGTAATTATGTTCTGCAATGTAGAGGGAGACAGATCCAAATCCCTTCCTATCTCTCTGTGAGGAACATTGTTTTTAAATGTTTCAATAATTTTCTCACCCATATGTTGGCAGACTGGTGGTCCTTGGCTCATCTTTGCTCCTAAAGGGCTCGGCCTTTCCTGGATGCCACTTTTGTGCCAAACCATAATTGCAACCACCTGTTGACATCACTTGTTTCAAATGGAATTATCATTTCATTGTTTTACCTCATTACCAGTCCTGAAAGCCCCAACTTTTTTTGAAAATGTTTACTTTGAACAAAGAATAAAACTTGAGGCATCACATCATATAATGTGCTGCTGTATTGTTTTCAATGTAATACAGTACACAGATGATTTACAAATCACTACTTTCAGTTTGAATTTTGATTTTATATACTGTATCTGTTTTCTCATTTGGGGTTGTAAATATTACAACCAACCAATCACATACAGACACATGCATGTTGGCCAATAAAAAAACATGCACATAAGTGGGTTGGGTATATGGTTATGTGGTTACAGGCCAGTGACATTCTCTCATTGGTAAAGTGGCAATCTATTAATTGACACAAGTGACACCACACTTGATAAACTAAACATGCTGAAAATGCACACTTTGGGTGGAGCCACAGCTTTCCTTGTAGCTCTTCAGTGATGTAGATATGTTTAAACTCATGTTTAAGCAGCACTAATAAAATACTAGGAACAAAACATTTGATTCCAAATAATGATAAATAAGAAAAACACCTACCAGCTCTGTATACCACGCTCTACACCTCCCTGACAACAAGTTAAAATAGAATTGGCACATAATACATAATTGAATATGCCTTGTTTGTCTCCTCCAGCTGTTCATATGTCAGTACCACATCTGGCTGGCAGCAGACACCAAGGGAGTTTTGGTCCTAATTCCAGGAAACCCTTCACTCAACATAATGGTCAGCACCTTCATCTTTGTGTGTGTGGCTCATGAGGTTTCCCTCATCACCAATGACCTAGCCCAGGTGGTCATCCCCAAAGACAGTGTGGCACTGTTGAAGAGACTTGGGACCATGGGGCTCTTGAGTATGGCTGTACTACTGCTGGCCAGGAACAGCCACCCCACACCCGGCATGTGATGCACAGATGTTGATGGGATGGGGGTGGGTGGTGGGGGGGCAGGCCACAGCAGATTTGTTTGCCAAGCCCCAGCTAAAACTGAAGAGAAGTACAGATCCATGGCAGTAGCAGGCCTGATGTTTGAGGCTAGTGGCGGCCACGAGAGACAACCTTGGTCAGTAGTGTTGAGTGGACAAGGAGCTCATAGGAAAATAGTGTGTCATTGCTGGTTGTGTTTGAGCAGTCTCAATTCTTTGAGTGCTGAGAAAGCTGCACACTGAAAGAAGGAAAAATGCCCAGAAAAGGGGACAATGTCCATTTTAGGGCAGAGTTCAAATTGCAAGAAAGGGGAAAAAGAACAAATGTTCTAAAGGTTTACATTATCTGGATTCAACAGAAGAGCAGAGGAAAAGTATGGAGATGTGGAATTTTATTTAAAACAAAAAGAAACCCTCATTTCAAGACTTCATGCTTTCTGTGAATTTTTACAGCAGTGCTTCTACTTAGCCAAACACACTAATAAGATGTTTATCTTGTCACATACTCTGTCATTACTTCACTCCTGGAGGGATCACTAGGCACATACTCTCTCCACATGGGGGAGACCCACAAGCTGCCCCTGATGGTTAGAACCATCGGTGTGAGATGGCGCCGCAGAGGGCTGACTCCTTTCTGTATCAGAAACAAATTCCTTATGCGCAACATACAGTACTTGGCCAAATAAAGCTGATTATCCCTATCCTTATCCACATGGCAGTCACAGTTGAAGGTTGTATCACTCAGGTGCATCCATAACTCACATATACAGATATCTACTCTTTCATAATAAAATATTCAATTGTGCTGCATTTTATTATCAGCATTAATTTGTACAATGTTTCTAGTGATTTTAAAATTGTGTTAGATATCTAAATATGCAAAATATGGACCAATGACTGGTTTGGGTGATTTAAAAAAAAACAGTCAAACAATTTGGAGTGCAATGGTTAAAATGTTGGAATATCCCTCAACATATTTTTGCTAATGTTTTTGTGAGTATCTTTAGAAATGTTTGCCTTGTGCTGAAAGGTACTGTGGTCACCTGCTGTAGTTCTGAAATTCAATGTGATATGTACAGTATTTAATGATTTAATTTAAGCTTATTTTATACCTTTATTTTGTTGTTGTTTTTTTTTCTATTTGTACTTTGTGCCCATGGGTTTTTTTCTATTTGTACTTTGTGCCCATGACTGCTGTTTGTGAAGTATCGCGTAGATCATTTTGTATCCATCCCAGCATCTCATGGGTGATTCTGCCTGAAGAGATGCATTGCCGAGGTTAAGCCTTTACTGTCTATCGCCTTATCTGTCCAGTTAGCGACTCACTTCAGTCTGTGTATTCTTGTATGATATAGCGAGAAACTTTTTTTCCAGCAGTTTTAGTACTCCTGTCTTTCATTGCTGTTAAAACATGCCTCATAGCTCTTATTGTACAGTAATAGAGCTAAATATTCTCCGTCTGCTGTCACAGCTAGTGAACTTTTTGATCAGTGGGTGAGTGAATATATGATTTCTTAGACTCAATGCCTTTAATACAGTTTTTCTCTGTGGTGAATACATAGAGTACATCTTAAGATGTAATTTGTGACAGCTGTAGCCTGTGATCACAATCTTCTCTCTTTAGGCACTTTGTATCTGGGCCACGCATCTTTAAAACTGTTGCTTTACAGAAAATACTGTATATTTTATCAGCTAACAAAGCTACACTGCATCTGAATTGAGTTTTTCTGCCATGGGGTAGTAAAAGATTGCAGTGTCAGTTTTCTACAGATTTTATTTTAAAGAAAAGCATGGGTCCACCAAACCTTTTTCTTTACAGTGGCACAATTTGTGTAAGGCTTCTGTTGCCTTTTTACCTGATGTACAGTTCGGCTGTGTTCTCAACTGAATGAGAGCCAGGTAAATTTGTAATTTCTATAACCAGTCATCACCTCACTGTGTGGGTGAGAATGGCCATTTCATGTTGCAGTTTCCTTGGTTGTTTACGGTTTAGTTTAATCTGTGACTCATTAACATCTATAACTTTGGTAATTGTTTCAGGCCTTAATAGATCGCTTTGGTCATGTAAAAGCCACTATTTATACACTTGTGCAAGGCCTCTCTGAAATATATGTAAATTTCTTTTGTGGTTAAAAATGTGAACTGTATCCATATTTATAAATGCCTTTGTTCTGTTGTACATGGTTAATAATGCCTTCATAAAATGTGTGGTTTTGGCTTTTGGACAAATCCCTTTTATGTCATTCAGACATTAGAAGTGCCTTGTCACTGATTAGGACAAAGGTATTTAACAGTAAAAATTATTTTGAATGAATTTATTGCTGTCATGTAACACATTACATATAATAGCACAAAACATTTTCCTTTTCCTCCAAGAGGTTCACTGTGCAAAATACACAGAAATACAAACATCATAGTTTTAACATTTATACACATATTCCAAAATATCGTAGTGTATCTTTATAATTAGTTAAGCTCTTTTGTTCTCTTTCATACATTGACTCTTCAAAGTGTAAGTGCACACAGTACAGATGATAAATCTTTAAGATACTCTGAAGCATGCAGATTGGCACAGATGTACAAATACATGGAAACGATCTCCAGCACTGGTGTTTCGTGTCACAAATTCAGTGCTTCGGCCACCTTTCTCTCCTCAGGAATACCATTTACCTAGAATGGATTATATATATATAAAAAAAAAAAAATCTAAAATGTTATTGCCAAGAACACAGATGGAAGTTCTGATGTGTAGTTAGAATTGTTTAAAAGAACAGATGAGCTGAAATACTCATGACTTAAAAACACACCACAAATCAACAGGTATCTCCTACTCATTAACAGAACACAGTACCTACCTCCAGCCTTCGAAATGTTGACATGACATAATTATCTCCTTTGTTAGCGGTGAACAGAGAGAGCAGCAGGTTAGTGCGTCATGCAGCTGATCACCATGCACACAGGAGGGCGCTCACAAACCAACACCAGAATTAGCTGTCTTTCATGCTGGAGGCACCATTTGACCAGCAACGTTCTCATGTTTGATCACTTGTGGAGTCACAGCCTAATGATTTGCTCTCAGTAATCTGTGACCAGTTGAACAGTCTGAATCCTTGTATTTTTACAGTGATGCAAAGGGGAGTTAGTCCCAAGGATAGACTGAGGCTATAAGTAACAGCAGAGTAACTGTAAGCCAAAATGTTATGGTTTCATATCATTAATGCCAGAACAGATCAATGTATTCAAGGTTGTAACATGCAATTACAAGTGAACTGTTTAAATCACTTTACTGTGAAGTTACTGTACTTAAAGCTGCAGTGACGCATATTTTACAGGAAACATTTATTTATTACAACTTGAAGCAAGAATGACATTCAGGAATATGCAGAATTTATGCCATGAGCTGCTGGGTTTTTTATGCTAATAAAGTGCTCCTGTATAAGTGTACATGTTGTTCTGACATGTACACCTGTATGTTAGTCACTTGGCAACAAATTCTGCTTTTTAGTATGTAAACTAAAAAATAATCACATCACAGATTGTTGGACTTAGGTTAACACTAACCTGATGGCCGCTGCTGTGGTATTGTAATCTGGTTTTGCAGGTTCCTAAAATCAAAAAATAATGATATGGTGAACATATAAGAGTCTTTAGTGTCATTTGAAATCATGTTGTACTATTTAGAATATTTTTCATTCTCAAGCCCATTTGCAAAACTCATGGAACACCTTGAACCTCCTAAGCTCTAGTTGTAAAGCCTGACTAGCTTACTTTAGCTGTAAACATGGCATGGCTAAAGACTGCTGAACACAAGAACAAGTAATGTTTAGAGATATAGTTCCCCATAACATGATCTGCATCCCTGCTAATGAGCATGATGTGCATTTCAACTGTGCAAAAATACCATCCATCTCTCAACTCACGTCTGCGTCTGCATGAGAGGCATGCTGGTGGTCTCATAGTTGTCAGGGTGGATGGGTGGTACCACCTCTCCACTTAGTGGGTTGAAGACGGGCAGCGTGGAGAGGGGCCAGGAGATCTCCCGGTTCTTAGACATGCTCCGCAGTTCTTTGGTGGATTTTTGGATGGAGCTGTGATGAACAAGTTGGATGCTGAAGAGGGGAGAGGCAGCCAAGTTAAAAAGGCCTGTGATGTTGTCATGTCTGGTGGCTGTAATTTGTTTCATCCTGGTGGCAATGCCTAATCTATAGAAAGATATCAAAATATTTAAATATGCCAGCAATTTGTATTAGCTATGATGAACTCTACATCCGACATTTCATGCATGCACAACAGAAATGTAACATCCACCCTACCTATCGCTGTGATTTCTTTCATTTGGCTGACTTATGGTGCAAGATTCAAGCAAGTTCTTAATCTTCATGAGCCAACTGTAAGTAACTTGCTACTGCTAACAGAGATAATTCCCTTCATCTGGTGATTACGTTTTTGAGCAGCCCACTGGGTGAATGAATGTCAACACAGAGATCAGCATATAGATGGTTATGAGAAGCTGTCAGTGACAACATATACCGTGTGACAAAACTGCAAACCAAAGAGAAAGGGGGGAGACAGAGACAGAAACAGCCCCCCCCCCCAAAAAAAATGGCAGAGGTGAAACACTTACTCTGGTGTTTGCATGTTTCTTTTTTCCCTAGAAACAAAACAAAATGGATGAATTAAATACTAATATTATAGTTAAAGAGAAATCTACACACAAGTGAATGGACTACTGGGTCAAGACAGTGAGGATGAACACTGAGTGAAGGAGGGGACACACGTATCTCTCCCAGCCTGCAAATGATGGAGAATAATGAAAGGATCTATCATGGAGGAATGATCATCAATGTCATGGCTTCAAAATATCAAGACACATGTGGCAATATTAACAAAAATCTGTGACAGAGTTTATGGTTAACTTAATATATGAGGACCCAATGACTGGATGGGATGACAAGCTGCGATTCCAATCCAGATTTCTGCTAACTGCCCTGGCCTGCACTATTCTTGCTGTCTCTCAGTGATACTTTGGTTACACTGTCACTGCTTTCCACAAATGTCTGTTGGGGTGTCTGGTGCAACATTTGCATAAAAGTATAAGACCAAGCACACTTACACCCCTTCTCGTCGGCAGCACATAGTGTAACCGAGGATGAAGAAGAGGACAAGCGCCACGGCGGAGGGAACAGCCAGTGTGATAATGAAGTCAGAAAAGTAGTCCCGGCTCTTCAGAGACTCAGAGGGGGGGTTGTATTCCCCAAATTCTGGCAGGATCCCTGTGCCTGGGTCAGGGCGGGTAATATATACTGGGACTACTTTATTGATGTCAACCTAAAGAAAGAAACAGGAGTTTATCAGCTGTGAATGAGACTGTTGTCTCCTTGTTAAGTACAATGTTTATTCAATAACTATTTATTCAAAAGCAACAAAACTAGCAAGAGCTGTGTGTTGTGTTTTCCCTCAACATTTAAAACCTGCAGCTTTCAACTCAGCCTAGTCTGTATGGAAGACTCCTCACCAGAGAGATCTTACACCAGTCGATGTGAAACTGAGCTCTGAACTTCTTGTCACAGCTGATGACAGGCTCCATCTCCTGACTGCATCGCAGCTGATTATGTGGGCTTTCCACCTCCCGCAGGCACGATGAGAAGGCAACATCAGCACCAACCATCACATACACTCTAGAGATGAGGAGACAGTGCGTGGAAAAGAGAAGACAAGATGGAGCCTCATTTTACATGTATATGCTGAGGCTTGAAAACTGAGTGATCTCCTAGATCCTTCTTCATCTTACAGAATGTCAGTAGAAATCTTTGATTTTCCATTTATTGCAGTTCATGTGGGCTATTCCCTTCAGAACTAAACCAACCAACAGTTTCAGTCAGTGCTGACAGTCAAGCGAACTCATCTAATTCAGAGCAAACTGAGGATCCCCAGGGCTCCAATTAAATACAATGTCAGCATGGTTCGAGTGAGCTCAAAATAAATGAATTGTTTGACTGAGCAAAGTAAAGAGGTTGTTCATAGAACTAATCTCTAAGTGTTAAACCACTTTTTGTACAAATCAAAACACTTCATTCAGTTATTCAATGGAAAATATATGCAAAGTGCAAGCAAATGGAAACAAGTAGAGCTACATCTTATTGCTGCAAAGAAAGCTTGATTTAGCTGTAACTCAATCAGTCAGTCATAGATACTGTACATCACCCCATGTACAGTATCTATGACTGTAAAAATGCAAACCAGGTCCAGGCCAAACTCCAAAATTCTCACCCTTCTTTGAGGTTATTGATGGGCAGGGGCACACGGCCGCCACGGTCCAGCGCTGAGGTGATGTTGATAGCATTGAGGCGCTCAGGCTGCCATACGTTCTTCACTGCTCCCAGGAAGTCCCCCAGAACCTCGCTGGCCAGCATCTCCTCTACGTTCATGTTTTTGATGTAAAACTCTGCCTGGTAGGACAGAGGGAACTCTGTGCAAAGGGATGAAGAAGAGAGAGAGAGAGAGCTAAGAGTTTGAGCAGAGGGAACTCTGTGCAAAGGAATGAAGAAGAGAGAGAGAGAGAGAGAGCTAAGAGTTTGAAAAAGGTGAAAAGCATTAAGATGAGGTAGGGGAGGAGGAGCTGAGGAGGTACAGTCTGCCATTAGAATCCATAAATGTGAGAAAAGAGCATTGATTTATTGCTGCTGCATAATCAACACCAACTATGTCTGCTCCACTCTGATATGACCTGGCCTTCTCTCTGGGGACAGATGTTAGATGACATCACAGCACAAGGAGAGTGATGTCATGTTGGCGTCACAAACATCTGCTGAGTGTTCACCTGACTTGGTTTATATTATACTGTACATACCATGACTGTCAACAAGCCAGTGCACAAACATACAAATGCAAAAATGTGATGTGTAGTCACAGAGATGGCTGCTTCCTAGAGCCACACACTGTACATATAATTTATCATGGATGACTTGAATTTCTGTGACAAATGGATGAAGAACAGCTACCAAATGTATGTTTTAGTGATATTCTCACACTTCAAAAGGTCAAAAACAGGCATTTCATTTAGGCTTATGTAATACAAATGCACACCTGTGCACATTTGAACTGTATAGATAGATAATTGTTTTTATAGTACTGGTGAAAATTTATCTTCAAGGCTTGGACATGTTCATAAATCTCAACAAAAGCACACAGACAATACACATGGCCATTAGCTCTTGTTGACAAAAGTAATCAACATACTGAATGTGCCCTCAGGTTGCACAGTCTGGTCTCTGTTTGCTCTAAGCTCTCACACTGGCGCCTCTTACCTTCTGTGGCCATGATATTTATGACCAAGTTGTGCCGTGCCGTCTCGAAAGTGCGTCTGTTATAGGCAGTAATCTGCAAGGCACAGGGTTGAAAGTTTAAGCCCAGATCAATGCAGCTTACATGGCAGCAGCCCTCTGGATAATGCTGAGCTAGATACACTGCACAGGCTCTGTACCCAACTTAAGACAATGTATAGAGGCACACCACAGGAATGCTGAACTTTGTGGGAACACAATTCCTATAGTAGATTATGGGGACAAAAAAAAAGTATATAAAAGCACGGTGGAATTTAAGTCTGTAAACTCAGTATAGAATTGTATCATGCTACTACTACTGAGCTCAGTATAATCAATTCTAGTATGTCTACTGTAAGTGTGCCCTGGGAAGGGCTGCAAAGCCTGATGTTGTCTTCTGTTTAAATTACTAAAAACATCTGATTCTCCCAATTTAATACCTTCATTTTGTTCAACACCTTTAACACAAAAAGCAGCATTCCCTTGACATAAGCAGCAGCACAAACGACTTTGACACCAATCTTTTTATTGTGAAACTGATCCGACCACCAACCTCTATGACGGTGGGCTTGCCGACATGCTCTGCAGTGGGGGAGCCATAGAGCACACCATCACTGTGTGGCGTCCTCTGGATGTAGCGCAGCCAGCCTGGCCGGTCAGGGTAGCCCATTAGGTTGGTGTTGAAAGTGATTGGGTCATTGCTGGCATCACCTGCTAATAAAGCAGTTTAATGAGGGGTGCCTAAATGATCTTTTTATGGGTCAGAACAAATTCTGTAGTGTGCGTTTAGGTCCACACGCTGAACTGTGAATGTTACAGCAGCTAAACATTTTCTAGATATGATAAATTAACAACATACTATGGTATTTCTATACAAAACTATGTGTAAATATAAGAACATTTAGGTAATCACAAATTTAAACACAAAAAATGACCGTTACTATAACAAAAAGATGCCGCCGTACCTGATTTTGGGTAGGGAGGAAACTCCCCTTTGAAATACTCTCTTTCCAGAACATGGACAAACAGCACTCCTGCAGACGGGTAGACATTACGATCTGCATGTGACCTCGACAGGATGGTGACAACTGAAACTCAGATTTCAAGCAAAGAGAAAATTAGCTCCTGAGAGCCAAACATGCCCTGTTCTGTGGGTGTTTATCATCAATGTCCTGGCAGCAGCACTAATTAAAAAAGAACAGGGGGTGTTAATAGAGGTGAAAACTAATAAAGAATGTGTTTGGGCTACTTGTATGAGCTAACCTGCTTCACAGTCTTAGAACAGTGAAAGAATTAGCTTCACAAATTATCAGCTGCTCAACAAAGTAAAATTTTGTTGATACTGTACAAACCAATGAATTTCAGTAGCAAGCAGCTGAGGGACTCTGACAAAAAGCACTAGTATTTCAGACTGGACTGATTTGTTTTATGCCTCCCTCCCACTCTGTCTCCATCATGCCCTCTGTTTGGCACCACTCCATTTCAAAAAAACAAATATTTAGTCTTTATTTGTGAAGTGCATCGCTCAGAAAATGGCAGCCCCTTAACAAGAGTTTACACAATGTAAGACTACAGGGGTTTTAGCGGGCTCTCGCTCCCTCTTTCTCAATCCTTTCCTTTCACTATTGCGCCTTCAAGCTCTTGCAGTGGGTGGGCACTCAATTTTTAACCGCTATGAGACACAGTGTACAGTACAAGGAAGAGGGGGAGGAGGAGGTGGGAGAAAAGCGGGGGGGGACTGGAGAGCTATGAAATGCAAGAGAGGGAGCAGTAAAGAGTGAAGAGTGTTTTCACCTGCAGACACACAACGCCAGATGCATTGAGCAGCTAGAAGGCGGCCTTTGACAGCTGTGTGTATTTATGCGTCTTCCCACCGGCAAAATGTTGCTTATTTTCACAGTTTTTTTTTTTTTTTAAATCTCCTGCTTCATGTTCTCATCAGCATCAATCCAGCATATTCTACAACACTGTCACCCTCATCTTAAAAGAAAGTGTTTCTCTGCAGCTCCAGTGTAAAACCTTTTCTTGAACAGAAGCTGATTCCCAAGGAGAGTCTCCGCTGAAGACAGTAACAGAGCAAGAATAAATCTGTGTCCCTGGAAGAGGAAGTGTTATCTATTACCAGGACACAGGGATTAAAGAAGATAAGGTGACACAGTAAACTGCTGATTATTAAGGGAGTCCAGGTCTACAAGGCCAAATTGTGTAACTGTAGTGTAACTGCACTGATGAGCTGTTGGTAGTGTGAAGTTATAAAACAGCCCCATATGTAGCTTTGACTGGGTTCCATCTGTAGCCACAAACTGACCATGTGTCTCCTGTCCCTGAGGGCTTGGTCACAGCTCGATACAATCAATAGCATTCAGCAGCCACTAAATGTGGTGTTACTTATAAAAACTCACTTTCAAAGGACAGATTAAGGGAACCACCTGTGCATTACTAATCGACATGACAGCTCTACTGCTATGACTGCACCCATGACATTAGGATCTGGGTTATTCAGAGACCAAGAATAAAAAACTCATTGAGTTTCAATGCACCGGTGGCGCTCTTGGAGAAGATTTCAGTTGATACACAAATGGCACACACTCTGGTTCTATTACCTGACCCACTCATTGAGTTTCAACGCACCGGTGGCGCCCTTGGAGAAGATTTCAGTTGACACACACTCTGGTGCTATTACCTGACCCATCAATTTTTCTCCCCGCTAAGGACCACGGTCAGACAGTCTGGATCTAGGTCAAGTATAGGCTATTCTATTCTACTCAGAGAATGTAAATATTTGTGACATGTCCACCAATGAGTCACACAGGACATACAACTGCTTCCAGACGGTCTGGTCTTACCTAGTCAATAACCTATAATATCAGAAATGCGTTTTAGCCTTTCAACATTAAAGCTCTGATTCAATAATAAACATTTAGGGCTAACACAGTCCTGGCAACCATCTGCTAGCCAGTCTACAGGCTTTACCCTCCCCTTTACTGCCTTCTGCCAGACCTTCTCAAGATGACGAAGTGCAATGTGCCTAAGTGGACATAATACATCACTAATTAAAGGTTAATGCTAAACTGTCTGCTGCAGACTAACCAACTCCTGCTGCAGGACAAATGTACAACACACAGGTGCATGCTAATAAAATACACTACGCTTTCCTGATAACTGAGCTCACACTAGTATACACTGGGCACAGACATGTAAAAGGTCCCTACCTCTCCTATGCTTCTAGGCATAAGACCCACAAACTGAGCAACCAGGTGATTTGCAGTAAGTTTGTGTCTCCTTGTGGTTGTTTCGTGTCTCCTTTGCATTTGTTTGTAGCCGTTTTGTCTTAATTTTTACTTGTTTTCATCTCTTTGTTGTGGGTTTGTTTCTCTTTTTGCAGTTTGGCATATTTTTGTAGTTGTTTTGCTGTCTTTAGGGTCTTTTCTATTTTTATTCATTCTATTTCTCTTTAAAGCTGTTTTTTTATTCATTCTGTCTCTGTAGTTGTTTTCCATCTATCTTTCCTCATTTTGATCATTTGATTGACTTTCCAACAGAAAGGTGAACAGTTCTCAGGTCCAGGGATCCCCGGACTCCTTGGGCTCATGGCCCTATGCCTGGTCGGCCCGTTCATACACACCGTTTTTGAAACTGACACACGTGAATGAATGGCACACTAGATCACTAACAGGCCTTGGGGGTGGTAGAAATAGCTAACCGGATTGTATGCCTTAGTTAAAAATGCCACTAGAAGCATAGAAAGAATAGAGCAGCCTTGTCCCTCTAATGGCTCTAGCTAACTCAGCCGCTAGCTAGGGGAGGCAGAGACTACTGGGAGGCATGTCCTTTAGTTCTATTGAATCAGCTTCATATGTGCATGTAGTCCGGGTCAGGAGGAACGCATGTGCTTCTTTGCTGATTAGAAAGGAAACACAGACAACAGAGATTGCTACGGTCTGGACCCAGGCGTTGGTATTCTGGAAGTGAAAGTAGCTGGTGACACAACAAGCAGAAAGCGACTACTAAAGACAAGAGTGGACATGAAACAGCTGGTTCAGTTTAACTTTCTCAACAAAGGTAAGTTGAATTTACCTAAAACAGTTTTGATGAAAACTTCTGTTATCCACAAAGCTGAATCAGTGCCTTCAAGTAACATGCTACTGTTAAACAGAGGAAGGAGACCTTTGACTCAAGTTAATGATTTAGGATCATTTCTAAATCTGTCAAGGACAAGATTTAGTCAAAATTTAAATCAAACTGCCAGTACAGCAAAAGTAAGTATGCCAAGTCTGGGGGACAGCTGACAACTGAAAACGATAACGCCAGTATTAATGGGGAACCAGTTGAGCATGTCACTGTGTTATGACAAGAGGGAGGGGATAGCGAGCAAACACATAAAGTGCTACACTGCACACACCCACTCACCATCTCTGTACAAGGCTGTTCTCTGCCTCAAGCCCATGGATTGCTCCATGTGGACATTTCTCTCATGTAAAGAGGTGTGTTTGGCTTCATAGGCATGCACAATGTAAACTATTGGATCAATGGATAAAAGCATCAATGGAACAAGTGTTTTTCAACAGCATTCAGCTGCCAGTTTATTAGGTTCCCCTAGTTAAAAAGAATGCAGTCTAATAATAGCCCTCCCTTAAACCATATCTTCATGAAGAATAAAACAGAGGATAAACATGAACTAAAATGAAGAAAAATATGAAGTATAAATAATATAGTGCCATTACAGTGCACTGAGATATGAATAAAGATAGCAGGCAGTGGTAAACATAAAAACTTTTGGCCCTGAGGGACAGTAAGATACCCGCCCTGAGACATTTGCATTATTCGCATCATTTCACCAGAGAATAAAGAGTCTCACTTTCTTGGTCTACTATTAGTGCTGAAAAGTGCACCAGTGCTCTGAATAAGCCCCTGTTGTCTGACCGTCTATAGAGACCTGTAAAGACAGCGTTACAGCCGTCAAACCTACTATAGAAGTAAAACAGCAATGACAATCAATTAGTTGTTTGACAGAAAATAAATCAGTAACAATTTCTCAAGCAGAAATGCAAAATACTGTCTGGTTGCAGCTTTGTGAGGATTTTCTCTTTTTCTTTGTTATATATATATGATAGTCAACTTAATATCTTTGAGTTTTGGTCTGGTGGTCAAACAAAACAGCATAACCTACTGTATAGAAATTAGATAAAAGCATGAGCAAAGTTTTCAAATCTTGCTTAGACATCAAATCCTTTAATTACTGTGATATTTTTAAACAGGTAATTGTCATTTTCTTGGCACAGATGTCAAAATTTAGGTCTGAGTACGACTATGATTTCTAGTTTTGTTTATGGTTGGTAACACTAGGCATTTAAGATGCAAACTGACTAAACAAAAAGTGTACACTGCAAACTTCAGGATTTATCACAGGGCTGTTGAGTTTAGATATGTCTACCCAATAAACTGGCAGTAAGTCTATATATTTACTACAAACTGTTAAGTTCCAGTGACCTGTAAAAACAGCATGTTGTTACTGTGGTCAAACGTCACATTGTGTATTATCTCATCTATCCCCCACATGTAATCAAGCAAAGCTTGTGCTGCTAATTAGACATTCTTAGCACACCTGGTCTACATATAAACACAGGCCTGCGCCAGGGGAATAAGCTACGTATCTCTTCCCGAAGGTAATTAAAGACGAATAGACGACTGACAAAAAATAGTAAGAGGATGCATAAGTTAATGTAATATTAATCGCTGGAGATGTCAGGTACCGTAGAAAACCCCACCTATGTAACGGTATAGGTGTCTATTGTTAGCCGTTTTTCCATGTCTCCTCCTCAGCCTCTCGGAAAAACTGTGCAAGAAGCTAAATAGCAGCAGGCTAGCCAGCTAGCATGGGTAACGCTTCAAAAGCAAGTGCGTGAAAATTCCTGATATTTCCCAGTTTAATCGATACGTACCCGTACCAAGCCATACCGCAACAGCTGCAGCGGACATGGTGGATATCATTCTCGTAAATGTTACATGAAAACGGACGTTTTATCTAATAGCCACTGGGTTAGACAGCCATGATAATAAGCATCCTGCAGCATTCCTTCCTCCGCCTCCTTCCTTCACTGGAAACAGCGCGACTTTTCATTGGCTGAACAGTAGTTGGATAAAAATGGTTGCCTCGTTTAAAGGGCAAAAATACGATGGGGCATGAGTGTCACGCCTTCAGCAAATGTTTCTGTGCGTTGTTTTTCGGATTAAAGGGGAATTTAAGTTTGACCTGCCTGCATATCAAATACGACGAGTATCTGCCTGCTTTTCTGTCGCCCTGCCTGTCTCCTTGTCATCTAGGACAGCATGCAGACATTCTCATCAGTATGCAGTAATGCTGTTAAAGTATCTTTTGATTTATTGCTAATCTACACTAAAAATGAAATTAAGGGGTTAAGAATACAGACACACCCACAGAGACACAGAAGCATAAACAAACACATCTCAGCAGGACCGTCCCTCCTGAGGCCAGCTGTAAGAGGGCACAGACATGTTTGTAAGGTGTCCTCCAGTCTCTCCAGACTCCCTGCAGAGTAGGTTGTAGCAGACAGATGGTCATGTTTTGGCCCTTTAGCTCCCAGTCATGCCTGCTAAAAGGCTTCTGGACCCTTAATTCACCCCTCAGGCTCCCTTGCTGTCAGCCAGAACACTTTGATCTTATAGAAAGACATCCTGATTCTGGCAATGTTGACAGTGGTCACTGATAAATTCATGTCTGACACTGGCTTAATTTCTTCTTCTATGGTGATAAACCTAGTGCATTCCATCCTTGGTGCTCTGCCGTGTGTGGCTGTTGTGTTCTCTCACCTACCCTTTTATCCCTTAAGATTATTTTTAGGTTGCTTAGCAACATCTTCACATAGCTAGTGTTTGGACTGGGTATGTAAGGTATCACAACAATCACTATAGGTCTGTGCGTGCACTAAGATGCACATTGTATACGATGACTAGGAGCACATAATCCACACTGATATTAGTCCGGTTCTGCTTCAGCATCTGCAGTAAGTTGCACTTTACATTGTTTGTTTGTTTTAGTAATGATTTGAGATGATAAACGCTCACTCTCCTGTCTTGTGTTTTTTCTGCAGTCATTCCCAGCACTGAGGGCTGTACATAAGACTAAATGTAGCTTCCTGTTTCCTGTAGTGCAACAAATATTGCAGAACACATGGAAAAGACCACTGTATTCCCAACAACAGGGTTCAAATATATTTTTATTTACTCTAAATTAAATATCGTTGCACCTGTGGCCTGGTATTAAAAAATTTGAAAGGCTATAGTCTAAGTAAATAGCCAATTATAGTTGTACTGTAAATAAAAAACACAATGAATTAAAATAAATTTGATTAAAGTGTTATAGAGTAAGTTTTTCTCAAAATGGTTTAGCATGACCCGATTCATTAATATGTCCAATTTGTGCTTGCAAAATATGCATGTAGGCTAAGCAGTTAACAATGTCATGTATTATAGCACATGAAAATCAAAATTATTGCTGTTTGTGAAACAAACTGCACATTTGGATGTTTAGAAAGCTTCCTTTATTCTGTTTTATCACATGAATTCCAACCCTTTGCTTTAGGCTGTGACTGTGTGACCCAGTGAGCTATAGAAATTTTACACAGATCTTCTTTAATAAGGATGTTAAAATATTAATAGCCACATTTTAATTGGGAGAGGGACTGCAATTTCATAGGCATTCAGTCATGCTCGGTGTGAGTTTGGTGTGTTCAATAGCCAACTTTAATATCCTATAGTTTAATACATTTGGCTAAATTAAAACTGGCTGATGAGACGGAGGGAGTAAATTGTGTAATCATTTATCCATATTCTCTAATTATAGACTTTTAATGAGTGAATTAACAGAGAAATCAAACTGAAACAAATTTCAGGGCTCTACTCCTTAAGACCCTCTGGTGGGTCTCAAACTGCACTTTGTTTGCAGCGTGGCCAAAGTTACTGAAACTAAAGAAAGCACTATGTGTGTGTCATTTTTAGACAAACTCTTTGATTCTTAATCATCTATGGTTTACTTTTTCATAGAACTAGTGTAGTTTTTCATGTATTTCAAACGTGCCACCCCTCTCTGAGTCTGTGCCCCAGCCTGGCCACCCCATCCAAACTTCTAGATCCGCCCCATCACGCTGTCAGAGTGGTCCTTGACCCTCTCTACCCCACCCAAAACCCATCGATCATCAAGAAGCAGCCAGTGGAGTTACCGATGCTGTGTGCTGGTATGTATGCCAGGCTGCAGCTCGCTGAAGCCCACCCCCTTCGCACAGCAGATTATCGGACCAAACCATTGCCGCAGTTTAGGTTTTAACACCTGTCACACATTTGCAAATTACCGGCTATCATTACGGCGAGCTATGTTTATTTTACTATACCGCGGACGTGTATCGGACGCTTCCGTCAGGCAAACGGTGCCACAGTGCAGCTTTCGGTGAGATGAGCTGCCAAATTGCACCGACACCCCTATTGTGTGACTGGCAGCATCATCCGCTGCCTGCAATGGCGTTGGAGCAGCTCTAGTGTGTCCGAGCGTTTCCACTGTGGATTTTCCGCCCCGGACTGTTTATGAGCCTGGAATAGCTATGTTATTTTCGAAAGGTTTTGCAACGAGAGCATCCTAATTTTGCACCTGTTTATCATCAGGATTACAGTTGACTTATATCACGCCTCAAACGAAGCCGGAGCCATGAATGTAAGTCTGACTCTTTTGTTTTGGTAACATTGCAACAGCATCGCTCTGGTTTGCGGTTAACAGTTAACTTTTTTGCAATGGTTGAGAAAGGTCAGGGTAGTGTATTCGTTCCCTTGCAGAAATGTGTGCAGGAGGAAACGTAAATAAATGTGAAACAGTGTCAGGAGGGCTAAACGTCAGCTGTCATGTTGTGACCAACGTGCGACTCAGCCGGTTTGTCTCATCCCACGGACACAATGTTAAAGCCTCAAATTCATCTTTCATTTTTCACCTCTTAACTTTATTTTCATCTGAGCAATACCTTCTGAAGCAGCACAAGGTCTTAAGTTCAAACGGATGAATCTTTGCCACAGGATTTCACATAGGTGTTACCACGGACCAGCAAGAGTCCAGCATGGTGAATAATAAATACTGAGAACATGTAGGTTTCAGCCATACTGATGCGTCCATACGGTCCAAGGTTGTGGCTTTCACCACATTAATGGATTCTCTGTGTCAGATTGGGGTTTTTTTCTCAGCTTTACTGTGCCATATTTTTACCTTCCTCTTTGCGTAATTTAAATATATTTCAATATTTAACAACATTTAAACATCAATGCTTTTATTTCATAACATTTTTTTTTGCATTTTCTCAGTGTAGTGAATTGAAATTACCATGGATTGCTTTGTTCCAATAAGTAAGAAGCAACATGTTTTAGAGAGTGAGAGGAGAGAGGGACAATAGTACAAGATAGCACCAGTTCAAACATAAACAGCTCATCTTTATACTGATGTGTACAGTAAGTATTGATTTGGGAAGGTTAACATGGCAGGAGTGCTGAATAAACAACATCATCACAGTGCTTTTAGAGTCCAGGAGGCTTTTGCCACTAGTTCTTGTCTACTAAGAACTTTTAAATCATACAGCAGCATCTGTAATCAATTTGGCACCAATTTATGTGAATAGTGTTGTTGTTGGAAGGTGAAAATTATTTATTTTCAAGCTTTGTATCATAATTTAATGATAAATTGCCATTTTATTTCTCTTGAACTTACCAGATAATATATGCTTCTATGTTAACGTCTCTTTTTATTTTTTTATTTTTTATCCAAGGCAGGTATAACTGGGTCTGAAGAAGATATAACATCAGCTGGATCAGATTAGACGGCACTGCAATAGGTCCAACTAGACTCCTTACTTCCTTGTTCTAAAGAGGCCACGGCTATGCTGACATTTCCTCTGAATCCAAAGACATCATCATGCTGAAGACGGAGGCCTCTGGGGAGAGGACCAGCCTCCGGAGTGCGTCCCCCCACCGCAACGCCTACCGGGCTGAGTTTCAGGCACTAAAGAGGGCCTTTGATCAGCCTCGGCTTGATGGAGAGACAAAGCCCAAAGACTTTGAACGGATAAAACAACCAAGGGGCCGCCAGTATGGCACTCATGTCAGCCGCATTAAGGACATGTTTATGCAGATGGGTTCAGAAAATGCAGCAGCTAAGGCCAGGGGACGGGATGATACCTCACCCCAAAAACTAGTCAAGCCCACCAACTTCATCAACAAGGCTGATGGGTCAGTGATAAAACTCCAGCATTCCTCATCAGCTGAAAGGGTTGGAGGTGCTGGAGCAAAGTTCTCTGAAACTAGGAAGCTGTTTGAGCAGCAGTCACGTGACCAGTCCCAGTCACCAGTTTTTCCCTATGGACGTGATAAAAGGGGTTCCCATGAGCACCTTGATGACTGGCGAGGGGCAAGATCCAATCGAGGTAGTACAGACTCCTTGGATTCACTTTGCTCCAGAACAGAGGCACCTTCACCAACTGTTAGTCAACTCAGTGCTGTTTTTGAAAATGCAGACCACCACAACCAGGGCATTTCATATAGAGGAGTCACCAGACGAGCCCTCTATTCACCAGATGGATTCCATCGCCATGGAGGGGATGTCAGTGAGGATGATTCACGACAATCTCCAGTTTGTGGAATCTACCAGAACAGGATAGGGGGAAAGTTTCCCACATCTCTATCCTCCGAGGACCTTGTGAACCCCAGTGCTGGGGCAGAGGCTTCAGAGTTCAGATCACTTCCACAAGAGGAGGCTGCCCAAGATAAAGCAGACAAGACTATGGACAGAGACAGACGGTGCCTTTTTGGGGCCTCCACCAATGGAAGCCAGGTCAATGGTTCTTGTGAAGAAGAGGAGAAACCTTCAGAAAGAAAAAAACAGATTGAGGATGTAGAGGTGTCCAGAGGATCAAAACCAACAGATGATGCCATGATTTCCAATAAAGCTCTTGAAGATGCCCCTTCAGAACCCTTACTGACCCCAATTACACCTGCTGGGGAAATCCAGGAGGATGGAGAAGGTTCAGGAGAAGACAAATCATCTGAATCACCTAAGGACCAGGTAGAAGAACCTGAAGAGGAATACACTGGAAATGAGCGGGTTATTTTTAATGCAGATGGGGATGCCTGTTACCAGGGTTGGGGGGAAAGCTGCACAGATGCCGAAGATGATCTGTATGGTGATGATGAGGATATTGTCTACGATCCGGGCTCTGATCTGACAGAGATTCCTGGTTTGCCAGAAGAAAACAAAGAGGACATCCCTTCAAATAGGAAGATTCGCTTCAGCAATGCTCCCATTACAGTAAGTCGCTGTACACAACTTTTGTGCAAGCCTAAACCGTGCAAACACATTGAACACAATCCAAAATGAAATCCCTTGTGGAGCTCTTATCAAAAGTAGGTTTAAACAGCAGAGATCTAATTGCGTATTCAGAGCTATTTTGTGGGCTTGTATTTAGAGTTACCACTGAAGTATTCATTGAGGTTAGCTTTGCTGTTGTCACATACATTTTTATAAGGTCATGTGATCATGATGAAATGCTCTGACAATCTGTAATCCTTATTCTTATAAGATCTTTCTACAGTGCTTTCATTTCACATGTTATGCTGTCTGGTAGATAAAGAAAGTCACTTTCGGCTTTTCCCGTTTAGGGGTCGCCACAGCGAATCGTCACACTGACGACATGTTATGCTATCTGGTAGATAAGAGATCAAATTATCATAACTGTAGCTGTTGCTCTCTGTAGGCAGGGGTTGTAGTTATTTTGTGATGCAGAGCTTGAGGGTCAAAGCATTGCCCTCTGGGAAACTGACGTGTTCATGAGCACAACATCTGTGCATGTGTTAGTCATGCTGGTTCTGCACCCACACAGCTTTCACACAAGATAGTTTGTTTTTCTCAAGCAGTCCCATCACTGTCTTTTAGATAAGAAAAACATTTATTGAACTATTTAATGAGGATATTACAGTGGTAGAGTCTACATGAATCTGTCACATACAGTATACTGTATATAGTATAGTGGGCCTAGTGTATGTCTGGTGGGTAACCTTGCTTCGATTGGTATATGCTTGGTGATGTCAGCAGATGTATGGCTAGCATTTTACCATCTCTGCCACTAGGGTTTTATAGGGGAGGGAGAGATGGTAATTACACCACAATAAGGTTTACACTTAAAAGATTTATACAAGCCAATTTTTCTTTAACCTTTATTTTGTTTTTGTAATGAATAAAAAAATAACTTTGCCATAGTCTTTGTTTCATCATCAGCCTTAGAATAGTTTAATGCTGTTACCAGTGCTGATTTGGATACAAAGCAGTCATTGTTGTTTGTGGGCTGGAAAGATAGATTTGGAAGATTATGGGAAATTGTGTTTAGTCTTTATCCTCAAGCATTTAGATTAAATAATCGTAATATGTGTAGTAGTAAACAACATGCTGTATGGCACCCTGTTTTATTTAATTTGGCAATGAAATACATCTTAAGTTTTCAGATTTTACCATAGCATTTCCCCATACTGTACCAGTATGTGAGGGATATAACTTACAAAGGGAACAAGTCAGGTTTATTAAGGATTTGGAGCTAACACGGGTTGAAGATCAATCCAGTATTACAGTATTAGCAATGCTGTAACAAACCACAACAGTAAGACCAGTTCATCCAAGGAAGCTGACTGACTAATTGCCCTGTACTCTTTGCTAATATCGTTAAATAATACCAAGTTATACTTTATGTTAGTAAAAGATATCTCCGGCATTTATTTCTGATCATTTGAAAAATAGCTTTTCTTGAGATCAATTTGAAAAGTATTATAGTACATTATACAGTGAATTTGAGCAGTACAAGGCTTGTTGCTACATTTAGGTCAAACAGGCTGGGAATATGCTTTGTTGTTGCCTGTGGTTTCAAGGCTTCTGTTTAAAGACTGATGCTCATTCATCATATTGAATACTCAAAAGAGGGTCTGCCCCCTCCTTTACACACACACACACAATTAGATATGCGCCCCTCCCACTTCTCTATCATTCGCTCTACGCCTCTCAATGCACAAGGAACAGAGTTCTGTCTTTTGTTCATTTGTATAGTAAAAGAGACAGCTATTTTCTCATCCCTCTGCGCTGCACGAGCCTAGCTTGACCCCTATGGGAGGAGAGTGCAGAGAAGGACATGGAAAAAAAGAACTGCCATCTCATAATCCAGTACTTGACGTTCCTTCTCTTCATGTAGTATTGCTGTAAATCGGCTAAATCATTTCAACATCCCAGCTTTGAAAGCTTAATTAATTTAGAAATCGTCATGGCAGCCACAGGGAGAAAAGGACACACAAGCAGCTTATGGAAACATTTAGTAAACATGCTAGTTGAAGAATATTAGTTGCATACAGTTTCACTAACAGTGAGTTTAAAAACCTAGCTATTGGCAGTGCTAGTGGCAATGTTGGTTGGCTTGTAGTCCACTACTTTGGTCCAGAAAAAGATCTTTACCAGTTGGACTGGCACAATTTTGTGGTGGTTCCAATCTGAATGACTTTAATTCACGACGTTCCTGTAGTGCCAGAAAGAGGTCCACACATTATGTGAAACATCTCAGCAAGTATTAGAATGGATTATCACAAAGTTTAGTTTGATATATTCATGTTCTCATCTTATCTTCTTTGATCTCATTACCTTTCCATTGGTTTCACCAGTGGTTTATGAACTAAGACCTACTAAACTAATGACATTCCATTCAGCCTTAACTGAATTTTGTGTTTGGTAATAATTAGCAAATGTTAGCATGCTACTAAACAAACAGAATGTATGGTATGGTAAACATACCAGCTGAACATCATCATATCAACATTGTCATTCCAAGCACATTAGTTATTATTACTGATGATTAGCTCAAAGCACCATTGTGCCTAAGTATTCCCACAACCCCTTCATGGCCGTTGACTCATAGTCTTACTAATACAACACATACAAGTGTATTTTTTTTAATTAATGATTTCTTCCACATCCTTTCACCCACTGTAACACCCTGACTGACCCAGTGAGATGTGACTGCTGTGAGCTACCCAAGGCGAAGACGGCTTTTCTTCACGAAGGCAGTGACCTATAGAAGACAATCAGATCTCATGTTCATTTAAGCAACTGGTTTTGTCCTTACGCATTACTACCTCTAGTTTTGTCATTTGGCTTGTGACGTACAGATTAATATTATATTACTTAAGTAGATTAAATCTTCTGTTGCACTTGTGATATGGTTTTGCAGCTAAGAATATGATGATTGATCTGAAGGTATCCTAACATATCAGCCAGTGTTCAGTTCCCCTGTCTGGTTCTGTTTTTTTTTTAATTATTATTATTTATTTCACACTTTTAACCATTTCTGAATTGTTGCTAATTTCTTTCTTTAATGGCTGCCACTGAGGTGGCTCTATAATCACCCCTCCACTTTGCATGCTGTCTGTTATTGGATCAAAGAGACTGGCATTTTGTCCTTTGGATTCTGCTGCTGCTCTGTTTGTGGAATGCTGAATAGTATGGATCTGAGCTTTGAGCCAAAATGAATATGATAGTTCCATGCACGAGTTTGTACTAGGTGTTTTGACTGGTGTGTTTTTCTGCAACATAGGCAGGGTAAGGGTGGCTGTGTTCATTCTTTCTATGGTACGCTAAGGTCTGTGTCATTAAGAGGTTTTGATGAGCGCAGTGAATGTGGAGATTTAGTTCTTGTATTTAAAAGGGCAGGATATATAAATAATTTGATATGAGATCAGTGATTCATTTGATTCCAACTGATTACGAACGTGTGATTGCAAAAACAACCAAGACACATTTCTCTCTCTCTGTCTCCCTCGTCCTCTGCTTGTGCAGTATGCATGTTTGGCAGGCAGCAGTACATCAGACCAATTCACAGACACATCTTGTACTTTACTGGATCATGAAAGAATATAAAGGCAAAGTCACTGATTCCTGCAAACAGAGAAAAAGCCGACTTATATGAACCAACCCAGTGCTGTTCCTTAGACGGGTATTAAGAGCCATTTGTCTTGAAAAGTTGGGAGCTCATTTGACTGCCAATACAGTACATGGCAGCTATTTGTCACGATATTACTTCTGGCTTGTCCTCTCTCTGTACATGGCAGCTCAAATCTAACAACGTTTTTATCCACATGCATCATCAGTAAACATCTGAGATTCTAACAGCTTCCTTATCTGGAGCATCACCTACAACAGTCTTCTGCTTCTCAAGATAAAATGAGATGGCTTCCAGTCAGGAGCTTTGCTTTCTGACCCTATTTTCTAATGGAAAGGATTATTCTACTTTAAGGAGGTCTGTCTTTCTGGCTGATATATAGTATGTGTAACAGCACTGCTTGAATTTTAGAACCAATACTGATATGGATTTTGACAGTGTCGTTTGTAAATAGCATTCAGGTCTGCAAGAGCATGGCAGTTGCAGTCTTTGCCAGTCATTCTCAATGAATGAATCACTTGACAAAAGCACAACCCATAAACAGTATTCTGCCATATTTACTTTACATATTTTTTAAATTGCTACACAAATAGTATATAGTACAAAGGACATGACATAGAAAGTAAGACAAACATTTATAAAGGAGACAGGGATTTTTACATTTTGTTTGTAGTATGGGTGTAGTCAACTCTGTGCAGGCTGGTATTCAGTATATCCATCCATTCTCTAAACCGCTTAGTCCTAAACAGGGTCACGGGGGGCTGGAGCCAGTCCCAGCCACTTGCGGGGCGAGAGTACACCCTGGATAGGTCGCCAGTCCATCACAGGGCTAACACACAGATGAACAAACACTCACACGCACAGTCACTCCTATGGGCAATTTAGAGACACCAATCAACCTATGCTGCATGTCTGTGGGAGGAAGCTGGAGCACCTGGAGAGAACCCATGCAAGCATGGGGAGAACATGCAAACTCCGCACAGAAAGGCCCCAGGTCGGCCAGGACTCGAACCTGGCACTTTCTCGCTGTGAGGCGACAGCACTAACCACCGCGCCAGCATGCTGCCCTGTGTTCAGTATATATTCAAGAAAAATAAAATTAAAGTAAAAAAAAATGGCATTACATAAATTTCTGTACACATCTCAGTTGCCATGTTCTTCAGTACCTGAGTCTTCATCTTTGTCTTAAGTTCTGGTGTTTTTCCTCTAAGAGCTGGGTGAACCTAGCTGTCAATGTCCTAATTATGCAGTGTGTGGCTTGGCATAATGGGAGAGAACAGCATTTTGTTGGGAGAGAGTTACAACACTCTGCGACAGCAGCTTTATAACAGCTGACATTTAG